GAACTTCAAGTAGATTCACTAGCAGAAGTAGTCCTCCAAAATAAAAGAGGGTTAGATTTATTATTCTTAGAACAAGATGGATTATGTATGGCTCTAGGTGAAACCTGTTGCTTCTATGCTTATAACTCTGGAGTAATTAGAAAGAGCTTATGACTACTACAGAGAAATTTAGATGCCAGGGAAAAATAAAGACTAGAATCAGATAACTGGTTTCATAGGATGTTCACCATGGCTAACAACCCTTCTATTTGCTTTATCTGGACCTTTAATTCTCCTCCTCCTCTTGTTAACTTTTGGCCCATGTTTCCTCGATTTCTTGTTTGCATATATAAGGAAGAGAATGAATTCTATTAAACTTTTAGTATTACGAAATAGAGGCTATGAGCAAATTCCACACGAAGAATCAAGGATTTGATTTTCCGCTAAGGCCAGTGGGGAATGTGCTGGCTGGAAAATTACTGCTTGGCTATCGCCCATGGGAACATAGGCTATCGCCCATGGGAACATAGGCTATCATCCATGGGCACATAACATTCTAACAATAAGCTTTCTGCTTCTGTACCCCTGCTTGCACATCTGACCTGTGGGTTGACAGGTAGTGAATAGGAGAAAAATAGATCTTCGTGTTTAAGACAGAATGAGGAATGGGATTTAGGGCTTAAAAACCCTGTACCTCTACATTTTGGGGCTGCTTAATTTGGGGTCTGCGTACCCCTGGCAGACCCAGCTGGCTGAATAAAGAGTGTGTTTCCTATAACTCACTGATTTCTGGTGGTCCATGTGTCTTTCAGGGGCTGGTGGCTACAACAAGACAATGAGTACCTCTGTCCAGGGGTATCAGCGAAGAGAGCATCTTTAGCAGATTTCTTAAAACCAAGACCAAGAACACCTTTTCATTAAAAAAAAAGTGCACTTGCTTATATAAAGGATGATGTAAAGGAAATCATATATAAATAAATATAAATGGCATAAAATAGACTTCCCTAGTACAGTTTTCCGAGGTCCAGTCCCAGTAAGAGCTCCACTCTGGTGGTTGTTATCAAGCTCCCCCTGGGAGCCCATCTAACTCTCTCTTTCCCAGAGCTGCTCACATCATCCACAGTGTGTTCTTCCCATAAATGCTCCAAAACACGATCCTCCACTGCTCCTCCAAGCTTCCAGAATACCGGTCACCATCTGATTTAGTTCATCTTCCATTCCACAGGTATTTTTTGAGCGCCTACTATGTGTCATGGACTGTAAAGCAGCCATGAGTAAGAGAGAGAAGGTCCCTACCCTCATAGGGCTTTCATTCTAGCTGGAGGGAAACTAGAGGCCTGAGGCAAGCTGGGACAAGAGGGATTCTAATGCCCACCTCCCGCGAAAGGAGATGATACCCATTAAAGCATCCAGTTTGAGCTTAATTCATAGTAGGAACTCAACATATATTTGTTTCTTCCCCTCTAACTGTTTGGAGGATAGCATAGCCTTCCCATTTTTTTTCTTTTTTTCTTTTTGAGGATTTCAAGCATTTTTGAGCTCTAATAAATACAGGGGACAGGGTAAAATGAACAGGTGTGAAGCAAGTTACAAAGTTGTTAGAAATCTTAAAGTCTCGCATTTTCTCCCAGGTGATCAATGAAAAGAGATACTGTTGTGCCACTGCTCAATCTTTCTGGAAACTAATTTAATAAAATATATAAAAATTCTAGGTCCTGGGACAGGGGTGAGAATAAGACAGATAAGACCTTAGCTCTTATGAAGCTTATATTTTAGAGAAAAGAGATAGAATTTAATAAATAAGCAAACCAACATACTAATTTTAAACAATAAGTACTATGTAGGACACATATACAAAAACGGGGTGATGTGCTAAAGAGACTGGGAATTGGGAAAACTAATCGGATTGATGGTTAGGGAAGAGGTTCCTGAGGGAAGAGGCTCCTGAGGAGGTGACATTTGAGCTGAGCACTGAATAACTGGCCATAACATCTGGGGTAAGAGGGTTCATCCCGAAGGAAGAGCAGCAGCCAAGTCTTAGGTGGAGGATGGTGAGGCTGAGAAGCAGAAGGACCCTGGGGCTGAGGCAGAAGGGCCAGGGCTCGGAGTGGAGATGAAGCTGGAGAGATCTGCAAGGTCAGGTAGATCAGAATAGGACTTTGGATTGTCCCAACAACGATGAGAAAGCATTAGCAGGTTTTAAGTAGGAGAGTACCAGGATTTAATTTAGAGTTTAGAAAGCTCACTGGCTATGTAGAAATTGAATTATTCAGGAACAAGAGTGGAAACACACCAGAAGGCTATGGCAGTTCTGTAGGGAGACAGCACAGCGACAGTGTAAGTGGAGAGAATGACAGATTCAGATATATTTTGGAGGTAGAGCTGAGAAGGCTTGTTGGTGAATACTGGAGGAGAGGAGAGAGAGGAATCAAAGGTGACTTGTAGGTTTTTGGCTTGAACAACTGGGTAATTTTCATAACAATGACATGGGACAAACTAGGAGAAGAGCAGTTTGAGGATGGAATTATGAGCTCTGTGGGGCCACTTTCAGTCTGGGATAGAATATAGGCTGTGGAGCCAGACTACCTGGATTCTAATTCTATTCTAGACTGCTAAATGATTTTGGACAAATTACCTAACCCCTTTTGTAGAGCCGGTATAACAATACAGTCTTCCTTACTAAGTTGTTATGAAGATGAAATGAGTTGTTATTATAGATAAAGAGATTAGTGCCTACATACTTATTGACTCAGCAAGTATTCAGTGAGCATCTCTAGGCACTAAATTCTGAGCATATAGCAGGGAACAAATTAGACGAAAATCACTGCTCTTATGGTGCAGTTTGTATTCTAGTTGGGGGAGGGGAGACACAATAAACAAATACATCGTTAAAATATTTAGTATGTTGGATTGGGGATAAGTGCTATGGAAAAAAATAAAGCAGGGAAAAGTGGTGGTGAGGAGGGAAGTAAATTGCAATTTAAAATAGGATGGCCGGAAAAGGCCTCATTCAGATAGTGACAGTTGAAGAAAGACCTCAAAGGAGGGAGAACGCCAGACACATGGATATGGTGGGAGATTGTGCCAAGCACATGGAGCAGAGCAAGTCCAAAGGCCCTGAGGTGGAGGCTTCAAGAAACAACAAGAAGGCGAAGCTGCGTGACTGGAGAGTAGGTGGGGTGAGATCAGAGGATGAGTAAGGTTGCCCCTGCAGGGCGCCCGAGGATGAAGGCTGTTATTCTGAGAGAGGTGAGGAGCTACTGACTGAGCTTTGTGAGCAGCTCGGTGACACGATCTGACTGACACTTAAAAATATCTCTCTGGCTGCCAAGTTGAGAATAGACAGGGCACAGGGAGGGCTACTAAGGCTGGGGCTTCAATCCAAGTGATGGTGGATGGTGGTTTGAACTAAGATAGGACAGTGCCTGTAGAGAGAATTTGATAATGAACAAATAATTCAAAGAACTCAATATATAGAGGTTCAGATGGTAATATGCACCGCAGAGAAAAATAAAGCACAAAGCAGGATAGGGAATGTGGAGGGTGTTGCAATTTTAAAATGGGATGGTAGAGATGAGGATGCAAACCATGGAAATGTCTGGGGAAGAACTTCTCAGGCAGAGCACCAAGCCCTGCGGAGGCTAGCGCCTGGCATTGTCAGGAAAGAAGGAGCCAGAGGCCTGGAATAGACTGAGCCTGGGGCAGGAAGGGGAGGTGAGGGTAGAGTCACAGTGCTGTTAGGACTTTGGCTTTGGGGAAGCCAGTAGAAGGTTTTGTGTAGAGGATCAGATTCATCTGCTCATTCTGGCTACTGTGTGAAGAGAGGAGTATCAAAGGGTAAGAGTGGATGTGGGGAAGTGATTGGGAAGCAGGTGCAATAATCCAGGCGAGAAGTGAATGCAGCTCAGCAGCGTGGTAGCTGTAAAGGTGATGAAGAGCAGTCAGATTCTGGACACACAGAGGTGGGAGACAGACCATCAAGATTTGCTGACAGATTCAATGTGGGATATTAGAGAAAGAAAGGAGTCAAGGATGGCTCCAGATTTTGGGCCCAAGAAACTGGAAAGATGGATTTGCCATTTACTGATATAGGGGAGGCTGTAGGAGAATATGCTGGAGTTTGATCTTGGACATGTTTCTTGGACATGCTGAGGCGGGGGGATCTAGGAGACATCCAGTAGAGATACGGAGAAGGCTGTAACTATTTAAGTTTGAGTTTCAATGAAAACAATTTGAGGAGACAGTGGACCTTAAAACCAGGAGACTGGCAGTGTTGACCTAGGTAGAGCAGAACCTGAGGTGGAGCCTGAGTAGAAGTGGAGACACCAGCCAAAGAGACTGAGGTCAGCCTGACTTAGGAGGACCAGGAGGGCGTGCGCCTGGAAGTGAAGACTACCGTTCAGTCTTTAAACATGATGTTTTCAATGAATATTTAATGCTGGGAGAAAATGCTCACCATTTTGTGGGGGGAGGAGCACCATGTGAAACCCATATTAACAGTTGTTCTTTTTTTTCTGTACATGGTAGTGGTTGAGGATTATTGCTATTTTCTTCTTTACAATTTTCTGTATTTTCTCAATTTTCAACACTGAACCTACATATTACTTTTATAAAAATTCTTAGATATTTGAAAATAAACATTGGAAAGTGGCTTTTGCTGCTCAGAAAGTACTCCAGCCTATTTCTACCTCAAACATGTGCCTACAAAAGGGAATTTAGGTCCTTCTCTCTCACAGTGGGTGCCACTGAAAGGGGGCAGTTCCACCCCAACCCAGGGGACTTCAAAAGGGCTTTGGTCAGTAGAAGCACCCTGGATGGGGTGAGACTGGTCAGGTAAGCACTGGAGGCTGTACTGACACTAAGCAGGCCCGATCTCAAGAGCTGCTGAGCTGGTATCATCTGACCTGCCAACCATGCTTCTTAGAACCAGAGGCACCAGAAATGCCATGTGCATCCCTGGGACAGACTGTGGGTTCACACTGCTTGGCCCAGAATGGACTGACAGATGGACAGACAGCAGCTTCATTAAAAAACAGTTTATTAGCATCTCTGCCACCCGGTGCAAGTGAAGATTGGCTCCGTCCCCAGGTACCCAATCTCCCCTTTTGAGGCCCTGGGGAGCCCACTGCAGCGGGCCCTGTCCTATGGCAATGTCCTTGTTCATTTGACCCTAGTCCCATCGCTCTTGGCTCAGGGCTAAGCCCCACCTCGAGAAGCCATAGGGATGGTCTCTCCTGAGCGGCTGTTGTCTCCGGCATCTGAGAAGACGCCCCCACCTCCAGAGGCCGGGGCCACATCCACCTGGATAACACCGTGCACCTGGGAGAGCTGTGGGCTGTCCAAGCTGGCGATGAGTTGGCGGGGGCCTGGTCGCACAGGCACGAACGTCTGGCGCAGTGTCACTGTCTCGTTGCCCCCAATGTTGCTGTGGACAGAGACAGGGTCATGGGGTCTGGGGCGACTGGAGGTGTAGTGGGGAGTAAGGACTGATGGGGCGGCCAGGAAGGAAGGAGCAGAAGGTGGACTCTTCGAGGCATTTCTGGGCTCAGCTGGAATCTCCACACCCAGGACCAGGACAAAGCTTGAGTCCCAAGGCCGCCTCCACATGACCAGGTCAGTAGCCACCCACACAGTTGCCTGAGCTAGAAATCTCCCAGTCATCCAAGACTTCTCCTTCTCCCTCCCACAAACACCTGGACAAGACTGCTGTACTGCCTACCTCGCCCCTCCATCGCCAGCTCCTGCCTAACCAGACCATCCCCACCCTACCTGGTGTTTCCAAGACCAAGGAAACTTCAAATAGAGACTTTGGGGTTCAACACAGTATTTCCAAATACTTTCAATTTTGCCAAGAAAAAAAGTGGGAGAAAATTAGTTATCCTCTAACAATCATCTTTCCAAAGAAGGAGCATTTTAACACTCCAAAACATTGGAAGGATGTTAACAGAAAAAAAGGAAAGTCTTTTTCAAGAACAGACAACTGGCATCTTTAAATTGACATACACACTTGTGTGTGTGTGAGATACATATGCATGTATGCACACACACAAACACACACACTCACACTGAAGTAGTGACTTTATTTTCTCCCTTCATGGATCTTTGAAAAATCTATTCCCAGACCACCCCTCTGGGAATCAGTTTCACCAATCTTCTAAATGGTCTCCTTGCCTCTCATCTCATTTTCCATTCTGTTCTCTCACTACTTGAATTTGAGCTGAATCTTTCAAGGGCTTGGCTCCCTTGCTGCTTATGGGATGAGACTGTAGCTCCCTAACCTGACACACAGGCTCACTCTGACTCAGCCTGCCTGCACAGCCTCATCATCCCACGCCATTCCTCCTTCAGCCCCTCCGG